TAGCACTATAAGATAACTCATGTCTTCTCTCACAGTCCATCATTGGTGAACTCTGAAACATATACTATATTACCTCAAGAGCTCCTGTAAAAGGGATTTATATCAGAATCATGAGTATAAAATTATTGAATGTTCCTCTAATGTAGATTGGGCAAGTTTTAAGATAGATCGAAGATCCATTACTTGATTTTGTATTTTTTGTTGATGATGATTTAGTTTCATAGAAGGAAAAATTATTGATTATGAAGCATCAAAGTACTGCATTGTTTGACCACTATTGTCCCCATTTCTACTAACAAATTCAAAACATACTTTCATTGAGATTGAAAGATACCATTCTTTCTCCTTGATACGTCAATCCCCAAGTATGTCAAGGAACCTAGATCTTTAGTATTGAATTGATTTTGCAAAAATGATTTCCAATGATAAGATGTCCAACACATTGCTTCCAGTAATATTAATGTCATCAATATATACCTCCAACTGAATTATCCCAAAAGCATACATATTGCTTGTAGAATACAATGCAATCACTTTTATGCTTGTGCATCCCAAACTCTTTTAACGCTTGACTGAATATTCCAAACCATGCCTGAAGACTTTGCTTCAATCAATAGAGTGGCTTCCGAAGCCGAAATACCGAATGTTTCTTTGATGCAACTTGACTGCCTTGTTATCACAAAACAAGCTGTCGAATTTCTTCCCTCTTCTTCCTAACATTTCAAATCACCTTTCCCCTTCGTTGATTTCGTGCTAAAATCCTTACGGAAATTCACAAGCCACTTGCAACACTTTCGACACAAGTTCGGCGCCTTCCGGCGGCTACTGAAAATGAACAATGCATGAAAAACGAATAATAAAATGGAAGCAAGATGAAGGAAATGAAAATCTCAAATGTCGCTAAAATCAGTTTAGGAAATTACAGTGCGAACACCGGACGAGAGAAGAGGAATCGGGAGGGGAGGGAAAATGCGAACGAAAGAAACGTCAAGGAGAAAAATATTCGAAGGCTTTGTAGGCCTCAATCAATGCATTTATAACAACGTTAGGTCGGTGGAAAACAGTGAAGGAGATTAGAGAGGGTTAATTAGGGTTAATAAATTTAATTAAAATTATAACTTGCTATTTTTATATCTTCCAATTTATTCATAATTTATATTTAGTATTATATATTATATTGATCGATTTGACGCGTATAATTTTATAAAGTTGTTTTAATTGAAATATGAGAAATCTGAAATTTGGGGTTTATTTTTAGTTGTCAAAATTTTTATCAGATTTATCAATAATGGGTTATTACATAATGGAGAGGGAGATAGGATGATGTATGTCTTTAAGTAGTGGGAGAAAGAGAAAGATGGGGTAAGAGGGGAGAAACAAGTGAGACATGATGGAGGGATTCGTGAAAAGCAGAAACTTATAGTAGAAAATTAGAGGTTTCAAGAGAGATGTTTAATGAGGGATGGAATCAATGAGAAAAAGTTAGAGAGCACCAAAGAAAAAAAGGGATGACGGAGAAGAAAGAATAGATGAGTCTTAGAAAAAAAAGAATTAAGGGGGCTTTTGAGCAAAATAATTCTTAATTCTTCATTCAATGAGAATAATAAACCATGTGATACTTTTATAGTATTAGAATATTATAAAACTAGATAATTACCCCAATTAACCCTAAACAATTTAAATAGTGATTAATTTAACAAAAATACATCAATGCAAACTTAAGAACATGAATTAAGTATAAGTACACCAACTTATTAAATCAAAATGATAATTACTCGTGATGCTGTTGATGACACACATGAATCTTGATTGGATGGTTATCATCATTTATTATCAATGAGTGCTATTCTGCTATCTCTCTTATGTACTCATTTTGCTTTTTATTCTTCATAGATTTATCACTCATTAATCTAATCATTCTGTTTTTTGTTGCACTCATTTTTACTTTATTTTATTATTTTTGTATTCAAGGTCTTTATTGTATGCTGACTCATACCTTTCCAGAGTTCAAGTCATTAACGCTCTCACTTGGCCAATTAACCCTTTCTCATCAGATGGTATTGACCTTTTTAAATGCATTATTATGTGCTTAAATTTAAGAGAGGAAGTGGGTTTCTAGTTTGGAAGCTTGCCTAATTTGTAGGTACTGGGTCGTAAAGCTCAAATTGAAAGTATTGAATTGAGTTTGTGCAGATATTTTGAGGTAGAGAGGTCATTGAGCTGCGGTGCAAATGCCAATGAATGAATGTGGAAAAAGAGTCCTAAAAATATGGGTGTGCATTTGGATAGTTAGGTTGCTTTGGTTTACTAATAAGCTAAAACTGACTTGCTTCATTTCTGAAATTAAAAAATTGAATTGAACCAACTGAACTGAGTTTTACTTTGGTTAGATTGGCTTGGTTCTAGATAAAACAAAATATATTCAACTTTAGTATTCGACCCATGAGCCTAATCCTATTTTGTTTAAATAGTATATATTACGAAGACTACTGAGCAATCTTTGTTGAAACTATAATTTTGGCATGTGAAATAATTAACATGAACATTATTCATTTGTCATTGGTTTATTTGTAGTTCACAGGCTTGTTAGTTTAATATTATAAGAAATTAGCATAATTATGTTTTTGACTTGAAGAATTAAAAACAGCAAAAAATTAACTAATAAGAAAAATGAAGTCAGTCAAAATTACATCCAATAACATAACCAATACTTTAAAAATCAAACTGACTCAACCAAATAAAATTGGTCCAGTTAAATTTTTTAGCTTCCTCCAAATAATACACATGCTTGTTTGCAAGCACTTTTGGATAGTTATTATAGGTCCATTGGCAGCTTCGGTTGTACTCCTTGTAGATGACTAATGTAGTTTTTGTAGAAGTGTAATGGGAGGCACACACTTTTTGTTGTTTAAGTGGCTAGGTAATTTAGGTAGCTTGTAGTTGAGGGCGAGAACTCTTGCTTGAAAAGTAATAAAATGTATGTCCGCATTCCTTATCTTTATAATTACTATGTGAGTAATAACTACTTTGAACTAGTAAATTCATATTTAACCTAAACTCAACATTGATTTATTATGCAAGTGGAGCCATCTTCAACTTTTCGCTGATGATATCCTTCTCGTGGAGAAGAATAGAGAGAAAGCTCGGAAAAAACTTGAATTATGGAGGTCTACATTGAAGTCTAAAGGCCTTCGTTTGACTAGAACTAAAACTAATTATATGAAATGTAATTTTAGTAGTAGTAGCTCTAGGTACAGAGTTGTAACTATGGTTAATCAAATTATTAAAAGAAATCAATCAAAAGAGTCATATAGGTGTGAGATGGATGTTTGTTTAAAAGAACAACTATAAATTGACTTTGGCTAACAAAAAGTTTGTGCTCATCAAGTGCACTCTATGATTCACCAATCAAGAGAATTGGGCCATGATATAACTTACGAACTCTGTCCATGAGCGTAATTTAATAGTTTTATTTTGTGGTAAAATCACTCGTTAAAGAACACAATCATTAATATTCCTTCTCGCGGTGTCATTGGTGACAAAATCACAAGATTATAGGAAATGTACCACATCCTTATTGAATGACATCTATGAGAGTGGTCATAGAGTCATGCTTTATAAGACAATGGCTCTCAGTGAGCTATGATTAGGGGTGTAAAAGAGTCAAATCGAGCTCGAGTCACCCTCAGCTTGAGCTTGAGCTTGATTAATTTTATCGAGCTCGAGCTCGAGCTTAAGTCTACGAGTTCAAACCAACTCACGAGCCGACTTGTTTAATATAGAAGAGAGAAAATGATATTAATTTAAGCTAGCTTAATAATAATAAGACAAATTGAATGAATAATTAAGAGAAAAATAATAAAAAATCACCTAATATACAATACAAAATATTTATTTTTTAATATTTCAACTACCTTAACGTTAAAGTCTTAAAATTTAATATATTTTGAGTGTATTTTATATTAATATTTTCTTAAACGAGTAGGCTCACACGCTAAAGAGTTAAATCGGGGTTGGCTTGACCTTGCCTTGTTACCTTGCCACTTATCGAGCCGAGCTAGAGCTCAAGCCGGCTCACAAGGCAGCTTGACTCACTTACACCCCAAGCTATGATTAATCTTAAATTTGTCACAATTTGCATGACATCTATAAGAGTGGTCATAGTCATGCCTGATATGACAATAGCTCTTCTTGAGCTAAGATTAACCTTAAATTTGTCACACTGATAAATTATTGTTGATGATGAATGAATAGTTCCTTAAGGCTTTAAGGTACTAGGTTTTGCTCTTCTTTTTTTTAAAAAAAATTATAATCATTTCTCTTTTTTTTATCTCGACTTCGAAGTTGTCCACTTCTAAATATAGGGATATTTTGATAAATGAAATCCTCTCCAGTTTAGATTTTTTTTTTCAATATTGTCATCACTGAGATATTAAATTAATCATAATAGCTTTAAATCTTTAGATGTCTACCTACAAAAAAATTGGAATCACACATCTAAATATGGCTTGAATCCATTTTAGAAAAATATTTTTCCATAGACCATGACAAGTTTCCCTCAAAACTACACGATCATGTATAAAAGTTATAACTTATGATTATACTTTTGAAGGCATGACATTAAAGTTCTATATTTTGTCATCCTAAAATTAAATATTGTTACTATTGTATACTAAGCACTTAGCAATTTACAACTAGCTCTAATTATAAGTTCTCTTATCATTTGGAGGGGTAATGAATCATAGGGGCCTTACGCCTATGAAAAATTTAAGGCAAATTATCGAAGTAATGTTTTATCTAAAGATCAAATTCATCTTTTAACAATTTGACTTGCAACCACAAACTCTTTTTGAAAAGTTAAACATGAATTTTGGGAACTCCAGATTTTCTTGAATGGTCAAGTGCACACTGTTTATGCAATTCACTTGAGTAGCATCCCAACAGTTCTTATATTTGTATAATTTCTTAGTAATGTTTTTTTCTTTTCCTTTTTCTTGCAGATAGTAATGGAATACTGTGGGGGCGGCAGTGTTGCTGATTTGATGAGTGTGACTGAGGAGCCTCTGAACGAAACCCAAATTGCATATATATGCAGAGAGGCTTTAAAGGTATTTATTAGCATACTTCATGTTTTTTTCATAGAGATATTGACCTATTGGAAGCATTTTGCAGTTAGTTTTAAGCTAAATCCAATTAATCTACATCATAAATTGGTATTTTAGATTTTTCTTTCTGCATATTTAGCTTGTGTAGCATGATTACATGAAATTGTCTTTTGCGTCCTTCTGAAAATTCCAGTGTTTGTTTTACAATTCAGTAAATAGAGCTGTTAACTTGCTTCCCTAGGCTATAACTTTCATTGAAATATTTTGCTAAGTATTCTTAGTGACTATAAGGAAAATTTTTATATGCTATTTCTCCAGCGTTATCACTCTTTTAAAGGCTGTAGTACTCAATTTTTTAACATCATGTTTTGCTTCAAGCAACAAGAATATTTGAAAACAGCAAGGATAAATGCGAGGTGGAAGATGCCCATGCAAACTTGATTGGGCCTGTTTTACTCAGATATTATGATATAAATTTATTGCTTGTTTTATCACCAAAACTATAGACAGAATATTGAAAGCATTAACCATCAGTTTAGCATCTTGATTTACAATATCTTAGTTTCTTATACATCTTTGTTCTGTATACTACTTGAATAAACCATGGCTTTTTTGATCAGTTCTGAAGCCGTTCGGTTATTGCTAAGGTAAAGGTTTTATATATTTAGCTTCTAGAATTTTTGAAATTCTTTTTAGCCATTTGACAATTGTAATTCCTGGTTTTTTTCACTCGGTGGGGGGTGGGGTGTAAAATGACTACCCCCACTACAATCGCGTGCATGTCTGATTTGTGAATGTGTGCCTTTGATACGTATAAAGTTATTGAAGTAGTGCAAGCAGTTCATGAGCACGGTGATTTCACAAGCAAGTGGAGGAGGAAGAAGTGGATGAGAATGTGTGCTAGGTTGAGGACAAAAATGGATGACTCGTGCTTGGGACCCTTTAGCAGTAATGAGAGCTGCAGTAGCTTGACGACTAAGTTGGTCGAGGCAAGCCGCTAGAAGAGAATTCTTTAACCTGGATTGCCTATGTGAGAACGGTGAACCGAGAAATTCGAAGTCGAGCAGACCTCATCTCGCTGCATTTTGCCTTGCAATTTTGTGGCTTCTGTGAAGTCGGGAGTGGAATTAGGGTAGCAAACTCAACTCGTCGGCTTGCTATGAGGAGCGGAGCATGGGACAGAGATCCAAGGCTTTTTCGCGTGAAGGGTGTGGGAGCGGAAAACCTTTTTGTGGGAGCTTGATCTTCGATCTATGATAATTTTTATTATATGATTTTCTATAGTATCAATTTCTATTAACAATGAGAGATTGACAACAACACACACACACACACAATAGATAGTACATATAAGATCAATTGGGATGACCTAATTTAGTTCTGCCTCTGCCTCTAGTTCTCGAAAGGGAACCGACTAACAAATTTGTGAGGTGCGTACCATTGCCCAAAGTAACCAAAGTATCATCCATTAGATTATTTAGCTCAAACAGATCTCCATTCTTCTTCCTCCTAGAAGTGTAGACTTGTCATTCCTCATCCGAAGATTGTTGCTCATTCAAATGAGGTGGTAGTGCAGTAGTAGAAAGATTGCCAACAATTGTACCCACAATAGGTTCTAGTGTGTGTGAGGTATGAGTTGTCTCCTCTACCCCTGATACTTCCTGAAGATGGGGAGCTGCAAGGTTCTCCTGATTATCAGTCTGTGTAGGTAGCGATCCTTTAGTACTGTTTTCAATAGGGTTTGAAAATGTAGGTTTCTCAGCAGAGCCATCCATCTTTGCATCAATCACAGAAATAATATTTTCAGGGGTGGTCCACATGGGCATAAGTCAGAGACCAAATCATGTCCTGTAATAGTTTTCTCTCTAGGTGGAACAGATATGTCCAGAGCAGTGGGGTTTGATCTATCCTTATTCACTTGATCTTTAGATTTCAAATAAGGCTGAAGCTTATGACATTTACAAGGGTATGCCCAAACATTTTACAATGATAATAATGAGGAGGTCTATGCTCCATGACGATTTGTTGTCAATATTTATTATGAGTTGTGCCCAACCAGACTTTAATAACATCAGGTAAATTAATATCTTTTTCCACAAATATTCTGGCCACAAAATATCTGGTTAGGCTGAAAGTGGGTAGATCTACCTTCATAGGGTCCCCAAGTATAGTCCCAATAATGTAAAAAACCTGATGATGAAAAAAGTGCAGCTTGAGATCAGGTTGACCAAACCATACCGGTACAATAAGAGATTCATGATTGGTGTCAAAATCAGTAGACCACTTGAGTAACTTTATTGATTTGCCTGCAATGTTAATATGTTTTTTTGGAAAAAATTCGAGTGTTGTCTTCAACCATGGTTAATTGAATCAACACGTCTCATATCCATGAGCCCCACTTTCCACTTTCATGCTAGTTTGAGTTGATTAAAACATTTTTTGATAACTTCCATAGGTGGGTGCTCCCACTGAAATTTTTAAATAAAAGTGAACTTAAATTTCTCAATCAGGGTTGAAATTTCTAATTTAGAGAAAAATAATACTGCTTTCTCACTTTTCCTACTTGATTCTTAATAAAGGAGCAGTCAGTTGTACCATCACGATACTTCTTTTAACTTAAGGGGAAGACAGCCGTCGACTCAACATGAGGATTAACCATCACGTGGGCAAATGAGGCTTTGTCAGGTTCAACCGAAGAAGAATGAAACTCCATCACAACAGGTAAAAGCCTTGCCAAGTCGAGCAGAGGGCAAAAACGGCGAGCCGAAGACGGTCAGGGCGAAGCCGCGGAACAGGCGTAGCTCGACGAGGTCTACGAAGACAGATGAAACAACCATGCAGAAGACAATTCGCAGAAGACGTAGTCTCGACGAAGCTAAAAGAAGATGAAATAGAGGAGCCAAAGCCCTTCGTCGTTGGGCAGGACGAAATGATGGCGCAAATGCGTCATGAGGAGGCGATGTGAGAAAAAGCCGGAGAAGCCCTTCGACGTCGAGTACGAGAAGACCTTCGTCGTCGAACACGATGAAATCGATGGATTAGAAGCCGAATTATTCAACGCAGGGAATCACCTTCGGGCGAAACCCTACGCCATTTATATATATCCATGTATATGTATATATATGTTTTCATGTATCTATGTATATATATATATATGTATGCATATACATAGATACATAAATAGATAGATATACATATACATATACATATACATAGATTCATAGATTTACATACATACATGCATGCATGCATGCATGCATTACACACAGACAGACAGACATACGTACATTACATACATACATTACATACATGCATACATACATTACATTACATACATACATTATACACACACAGACACACAGAGACACGCACACACACCTACATGCCTAGATACATACATTACATACATACATACATACAGACATATCGAGTTTCGTGCCATTACCTAAAGTAACCAATGTATCATCCATTAAGTTTCTGAGCTCGAGTGGGTCTCCATTTTTCTTTATCCTCTTGAATGTGTAAACTTGTCATTTCTCATATGAAGATTGACTCATATGATCAATGTGTTGGTCAACAGATTACTGGGCATGTATAAGCTGATGAGCCCCTTGTGCCTGACTAACAGTAACAACTTGCTCGTTCTGTTGAGGTGGTAGAATCGCAGTAGAAAGATTTCCAACCGTTGCAATAATGATAGATTATAGTGTATGTGAAGTATAAATTGTTTTCTCTGCACTTAATGCTTCCTGAAGATGAGAATCTTCAAGGCTCTCCTGATTATCGATCGAACATTGTCCTTTGTAGGTAAAGGTTCTTCAGTATTGTTCTTAAAAACGTTTGAAGCTGTTGGTTGCCCAACTGAAACATCCAACAACACTTCAATCGCAGAAACAAAAACTGTGTTGTTAGGGGGGTCTTCGATAGTGGGAGGGAGAGCGGATGGCGTTTCAACTAATATTTCAATATCATGTGGATTGAACTCAGGGGTGGATGAGGGACAGGTGTGAGTTGGGGCAGAGGGCCTAACAATATTTTTTACGCTCAGGTTTTAAATGAGGGTACAAATGATGACATTGAGAGTGAGAGTGTCTAAACATACGACAGTGGGTGCGGTAAAGTGGGATCTGTTCGAGTTTCGCTCGCTGCCCTAAATCCTGGTGCTGGGAGCAAATCCAAATCTCCGTCAGAAAAGGTAAAATAATGCCTCGTTCAATCAAAACTTTGGCTTTAGAAGGCCGAGTCAGATTAACTGTAGGAATATCTGTTTTGAGAGGTTTACCGTAAACCATAGCTAAGGAGAAGAGGAACTCTTGATTGAAAGATGAAACTTCAGACTCGGGAAACACAACTATACAGGAATGGTATGAGGTTCAGTGAGGGTCAAAATCGACCGTCCTTAAAACTTTCATCACACGTTTCATCACACGGTTATCTATTCGAACGAGTCTTCTCGCAAACAAATGAGCATAGTCTTCATCATGTGATAATTATATGAGAATATGCCTACCGTCCAGTTTACCAAACTTTCATTCCCCTTTCAGCCACATTTGCTCAAAATCTTTTTGAACTAGTTCGAGTTTGGGGTTTCCATAAAGGAACTTACTTAAACCAATCGGCAGGATGAAGTTAAGGTGGAAATCTTAGGCTCAGAGAGAAAAATTGCAGGCTTACCATTTTTATGGGATGATTTTTTGAGAATTCCAGTGTCAACACCTAGCGCTAAAGTATCGTGGTATTGCTGTAGGAACATATACGAAAAAGGGGCGCGAGCGGGGTTATCTACAGCAAGGGCGGCGAAGTAGGAATGGAGCCAGAGGCCATCTCGACATGCAAGAAGTGCACGTAAGACCTCCTTGTTCAGGGGACTGCGTCAGGAAGAGGAGGAGACGTGCGAGAAATGCTCGACAAAATCCCTTCATTGTCGGGCACGAAGAAATCGAAGTCGCAAAAGCGTCAGGAAGAGGAGACGACGTGCGAGAAGGCACAACCAAAAACTGCAC